TATATATATATATATATATAATAAATCACTAAATGAAATACATTAAATTGAAACACAAATGATACTTTTTGGATACTTTTTGGAAACTTTTTATGCGCAAACAAAAAACTCTTTTCTTTATACTTCTACCATAAAATAGCAAAGTTGTATTTGTAACCATTTTATTTTTCAAGGGAAGAAACAACCTCAAATTTAATATCCTTCTTAATCAATTCTTCAATCAATGATGTTGTACTAAATGCAGCACCAGGAGTTAAAACACCACCGCTAAAATAATGCAATAATAATTATAAAATTATGTAAAAAAAATATATTGTACTTTTAAATAAAGATATATATGTATATAATAAGATATATAACATACGTAACAGGAATTTTATCAGATTCCTTGAGAATTGTTACACCAGAAAGCAGTAACATAGTGCATGTGGCCTTATATCCAGGATCAATTCCACTAACTTTAGTAATCATTACTTTGTTCGGTAAATCTTTATGTTTATCAGTAGATTCGGCTAATTTTTCAGTCCATCCTTCTGCTTTAAATGTTATAGAGAAACGAACGTTATCCAGTGTCTCTGGCTTAGGTCCCTCATGATTTGCATATCCACCAGAAAAGAATGTAGGATACTAAACAAGTTTTGTGAAACTTAGATTGTTTTTAAAATACGATACGAAAGATATATTTTATAAAAAATAGAAAATACCTTTAACAATAAATTACGACCAAATTCATATTTGGACAATAATCCAAACATTAAACCAAAAATAATAGTTGTCAATACGGAGAAAAATGACCTGTAATTTAAAAAGAAAAATTTTATTAGTATAAAATTAATATTAATATTTAGTATAAAATTTTTACTGTAATTTTTTTAGATTAAATATAAATCTTACTTGAGTGTAAAATAAGTTTGTATTTGAACTGGTCGTTGTTTATATTTATCATATAAAAATCGCTGGGTACGAAGAGCTACGGAGCGATCAGCTCCTGGAAATATCATAGACCATCCTTTCGATATAGAAGATTTGTGAATCGTACCTCTAAAATAATCATGTAAGATTAGAAATTTTTTAATTATAAGATTAGAAAATATAAATGATATAAAAATGTATGCAGTTTTAATTCTTGTGTATAATTATATTATATTTATATTATTATATTATATTATATATTATTTATATTATATCGTCAACCTTGGTTTAAGTTTTGGCCATAATGGAGGTAATTTCTCAGGATACAATTTAGAGCGCAACTCTCGTAATTCATGGGAATGTGCTATACCATACACTGCTGATTCATATGTTCCATAATGAAGGAGAGCACCACTAACTTTTGTAGTTACCAACATATTCAAATAAGTTTCAATGGAATTGACTTCACCATTAAATTTTTGTTGTGTAAAAATTGTGCCAAGATCACATGGTATGCTATCAAATCCACACGCACTTATGATGTAGATACCAGCGTCTTCTGCTGCCTTATTATATTTTAATTGAATCCTTTCTATATACTGTAATTTGAAAATTTAAAAAAATTATGTTAAAATATTTGATACAAGTAAGAAGTAGAATCATCTTAATAATTTTGACTAGTTTAAGAAATTACCTGTGGTTCACCACTGACATCAACTTGATGAGTATGAGTAGCAATGCATGCTTTAATTACTGGTTCTCCATAAAATCTATATGGACCACAACAATTAATAAGCACTTTAGCTTGAGCTGTCATTTTTTTTAAGGACTCTTCATCTTTTAAATCAGCAATCAATATGGGTACATCTTCTAAAGAAATAAGTTATATTATTACAATATAATCATTATTATTCAAACTTATTACTTAATTATTCAAGCTTTAATTTTACCAATATCAGAAACAAATTCTTTAACAACTGCTTCTAAAGCTTGTTTTCTACGTCCAGATACTCCAAATGTTATTTGTTTTTCTTTAGCTAATTGTGCTGCTATTTTTACAGCATATTTTCCAGTATATCCAGTAGCTCCAAATATAATAAAGTCCAATCGTGCCTCTGTCATGATAAGATCTAAAAATAATATATATATAATTTTTTTGTTAGAATTATAATTAATTTTTAAAAGTACATATATAAAACTTTTCTTAAAATTTTCCAAATAAATGCATTATTATGAATAAATTACAAATTTTTATCCAATTTTGTATTTCTAAAAATGTACAAACAGAACTTTCACATGAAATTGTTTTTACGTACCAAATATTATAAAAATACTTCAGATATTTTCTGTATTTTATCATTTGTATTTTATCATACATATTACGTGCATTTTATGATCGGCAGTCCATTAATTGGTATGTAAATTTATTATAATTAATTATAAGATATATTGAAAGATAAAGTACATGTTTTCATTTCGTCATCGTCAGTATTTAAAATATAAATGAACAATTAAATACATATAAATAATTAAAATATATTTTCTTAAGAATGCGTAGCGAAATATTAAATAAAAAGGAGACACGCCCTTTAGATCATGTATTATTTTAAATATTGTCGCATTTTGATGTCGCCGGAATTCATGTTGCCGGCAATCTGACATTAATTACAATTCTTTAAAATTTATTATATTTTTATGAAATTATACAATTTATACATTTTATCAACGAAATACGTACC